TTCTCATGTTACATGCTCAGGTATTCTCCTTCGGGCAGACTCCCATCCCCCCATGCAGACCATCCTAGCCACACTCCCCTGTCAGCATTCAAAGACCACAGTAAGAACAGTCCCAGTTCATCACAGCAGGACCCTGTAGCTCCCCCAGGACCCCGCCGGGACGGACTCGCTGTGGGAAGCGCACGGAGGGGCATGTGCTGAATGCTCCCAGGAGAGACCCAGGAGGTGAAGCTGTGTGAGCTTCTTGCCCTGGAGACAGTCTGCTCCGAGGGAGAGGAGGCTCCCCAGAGTCCTGACTGGCTTTGTGGGGAGCAGTTCCAGAGCATCACCCGGGGACTCCGTGCCATCCACTACACCCCATATCCCGCAGAACCCCCTTCCCCTCCCCCTGCATCCTGTGCCCCCTATGCCCCAAATCTCCTTGTTTCCCCATGGCACCCCAATACACACATGCCCTTGCAGCCTTGCACCCCACAGCCTCCTGCTGCCCTGATCTGCCACCCCCACAGCCCCTTTCCCCCGGTCCGTGCCCTGCTCACCCGCTGGCACGCCGGGGATTGTGATGTGCCTCTGCTTCATGCCCCTCGCGCCTTGGAACGTGCAGCTGAAAGTGTCTTCTTCGCACGGGGTCTGGATGGTGACGACCGACGTGAGCCGCCGCCTGCCCAGCCCGAGGTTGCGCTGCCACGTCACCACGCGGTGCTGCTCCAGCTTCGGCATCAGCGTGTTCAGCTCCCCGGGCTGCCCAGGCCCCAGCTCCTTCCCCTGGCGCTGGCTCCTCCAGGTCAGGCTGTCTGTGTCGCAGAGCGTCCCCTCCGCCTCGCAGAGCAGTGCTGTCACGCTGCCCTCCGGCCAACACTCCCGGGCACGGCTCGAGGACACTGCGGGGAGGTGAGCGCGTCAGGCTGGGTGGGGGCAGCTGTGGGGCCGGGGGAGTCGTGGGGGGGGGCGGCTGAGTCGGAGGGAGAAGGTCGCGGGGGAGACTGAGGGAGAAGGATGGTGTGGGGGAGGGGGAAGGGCGTGAGCCGGAGGGAGGAGGTTGGGGGGGGCTGAGTCGGAGGGAGAAGGTCATGGGGCAGGGGTGGGAGAGTGTGAACCGGGGGGGGGTAACCCCTCGAGGGATGGGGTCCAGGCCCACTTACTGCTGATGTTACAGCACTGGTACAAGATCCACAGGGTGAGCAGCACCAGCAAGACCAGCAGGATCAGTCCGATGACCCATAAACACGTCTTGGGGCACCTGGGGACTGCCAGGGAGAGAGACAGGGTTAGTACTCCGCTCCCGGCCCCACGCCCAGAGCAGTTAAACACTACGCAGGCTCCTGCCGGGAGGTTGCGGCGTGGAAGGGGTTCAGTATTTGGAATCCAAGATACCGCACAAGCTCCCAAAACAGAGACCAAGGAAACCGGCAGCTCCCCTTAGCCAGCTCCCCACATGGCAGCGATCAACGGAGCCAGCCGCTCCCTCCAGCAACGGGCTCACTCACCCACCCTGCTCTTGGCTGGCTCTTTGCAGACAGGGAAGAAAAAAGGGAAGAAAGAGAACCGAGGGAACTACAGGCCAGTCAGCCTCACGTCAGCTTCCAGCAAAATCATGGAGCAGGTCCTCAAGGAATCAATTCTGAAGCACTTAGAGGAGAGGAAAGTGATCAGGAACAGTCAGCATGGATTCACCAAGGGGAAGTCGTGCCTGACTAACCTAATTGCCTTCTATGATGAGATAACTGGCTCTGTGGATGAGGGGAAAGCAGTGGATGTATTATTCCTTGACTTTAGCAAAGCTTTTGATACGGTCTCCCACAGTATTCTTGCCAGCAAGTTAAAGAAGTATGGGCTGGATGAATGGACTATAAGGTGTCACAGAGTGTGGGGGAGTCAGGGCCCCGCAGGCCCCACTTCCTGCGATTGACCATGACTCTCAGCCAGCCAGTAAAGCAGAAGGTTTATTTAGACTACAGGAACACAGTCCAAGACAGGTCTTGCAGGCACAGACAATAGGACCCCTCAGTCAGGTCCATATTGTGGGGTGGGGAGCCCAGACCCCGGCCCCAGGCTTCCCTCCGTTTCCCCAGCCAGCTCCAAACTGAAACGCCTTCCAGCCATCTCCTCCAGCCACACACCCCGGTTCCTCCTCCAGCCTTTGTCCAGTTTCCTAGGCAGAAGGTGTCACCTGGCCCCATCCCCCTCCTGGGCTCAAGTTACCTGCTCAGGTATCGTCCCTCAAGTGAAGTCACACCCTGCTCTCCCATCACCAATGCAGACAGTCCCAGTAAAACTCCCCTGTGACATTCCCAGGTCAGTCCTCCCCACTCCCTGCTCCGTCCCAGGTGGATAGGAAGCTGGCTAGATCGTCGGGCTCAATGGGTAGTGATCAATGGCTCCATGTCTAGTTGGCAGCTGGTTTCAAGCGGAGTGCCCCAAGGGTCGGTCCTGGGGCCGGTTTTGTTCAATATCTTCATTAACGATCTGGAGGATGGCGTGGACTGCACTCTCAGCAAGTTTGTAGATGACGCTAAACTGTGAGTGGTAGATACGCTGGAGGGTAGGGAGCGGATACAGAGGGACCTAGAAAAATTAGAGGATTGGGCCAAAAGAAACCTGATGAGGTTCAACAAGGACAAGTGCAGAGTCCTGCACTTAGGACGGAAGAATCCCATGCACTGCTACAGACTAGGGACCGAATGGCTAGGCAGCAGTTCTGCAGAAAAGGACAGAAAAGGGGTCACAGTGGACGAGAAGCTGGATATGAGTCGACAGTGTGCCCTTGTTGCCAAGAAGGCTAAAGGCATTTTGGGCTGTATAAGTAGGGGCATTGCCAGCAGATCGAGGGACGTGATCGTTCCCCTTTATTCGACATTGGTGAGGCCTCATCTGGAATACTGTGTCCAGTTTTGGGCCCCACACTACAAGAAGGATGTGGACAAATTGGAGAGAGTCCAGCGGAGGGAAACAAAAATGATTAGGGGTCTGGAGCACATGACTTATGAGGAGAGGCTGAGGGAACTGGGGTTATTTAGTCTGCAGAAGAGAAGAGTGAGGGGGGATTTGATAGCAGCCTTCAACTACCTGAAGGGGGGTTCCAAAGAGGATGGATCTAGACTGTTCTCAATGGTACCAGATAACAGAACAAGGAGTAATGGTCTCAAGTTGCAGTGGGGGAGGTCCAGGTTGGATATTAGGAAACACTATTTTACTAGGAGGGTGGTGAAGCACTGGAATGGGTTCCCTAGGGAGGTGGTGGAGTCTCCTTCCTTGGAGGTTTTTAAGGCCCGGCTTGACAAAGCCCTGGCTGGGATGATTTAGTTGGGAATTGGTCCTGCTTTGAGCAGGGGGTTGGACTAGATACCTCCTGAGGGCCCTTCTGTGACGAACTGGGACTGTTCTTAATGTGGTCTTTGAATGCTGAGTGGGGAGTGTCGGCTGGGAAGGCAGGGGAGTGTGGCTAGGACGGTCTGCATGGGGGGATGGGAGACTGGCCGTGAGGGAAAATACCTGAGCATGTAACATGAGAACCCAGGAAGGGGTTAGAAGGGGAAACTGAACAAAGGCTGTGGGAGGGGGTCGCTGGAGAGGGAATTTCAGAGCTGGCTGGTGATATGGCTGGGAGGCAGATGGGCTTCTGAACCCCAAGGGGGCTGTGGTGCCCTGGGACCCCAAGATGGACCTGAGGGGGGTCCTGTTGTCTGTGCCTGCAAGACCTGTCTTGGACTGCGTCCCTGTTGTCTAAATAAACCTTCTGTGTTACTGGCTGGCTGAGAGTCATGGTGAATCGCAGGAAACCGGGGGTGCAGGGCCTTGTGTCCCCCCACACTCCGTGACACCTTCCAACCCTGATATTCTATGAGTCTGTGACTGCCCACAGGCTCCCTGCACCGTGGTGCCCGCGGGAGCAGATGAAAGTGAAGGCTGGTAATTTTAATGCCGTTAGGGGAGCTGGGAGGGGTAATGCCAGGGAAGGGGGCAGCACAGGGGGGAGCAATGCTGAGGCTGGCTGGGCCGGAGAGAGGGGAGAGGAGAGGGTAAGACCACTCCCCACTTCCGACTCCCAGCCCATCGCACTGACCTATCCAGGTGGCTGTGCTCTCCAGCGGGGTAGTCAGCGCCTGGTGCTGCACGCGGCAGGCGAAGTTGGCCTGGGCGTTGCTCTCTGGCCGGTCGAGGATGTAGCCGCTGCGGAGGGCAAAGGACCCGTCTGCTTCCTTCGTGGGGGCTGACTCCATGGTGAGCAGGGGCTCCCCGTTCCGCAGCCATTGCACCGTGATCTCGGGGGGGTGGTAGCCGCTCACCAGGCACTGCAGAGTGACCTGCCCCTGCAGCGTCACCAGGGGCTGCAGCAGGGTCAGTCGTGGCGGGGCTGCCGGGGGGGGAGACAAGGTGAGGGCGTTGGGCTTCCAGAGGGACTGTCATGGGGGGGCCCTCTAGGTAAGGGCAGGGGAACAGACACCCGGGGGGGTTAGGCGGAAGGAAGGGGGGCCCCAGGAGCTGAGCAAGCTGGCGCTGCGTGGGAATGGGGAGCTGTACAGGGGATGGGGCTCTGGCAGGGGGTGGGCAGTGCTGTAGGGGCACGGGGGTACTGCAGGGGTACAGTATAGGGTGGGGTGCTGTGGGGAGGA